GGATCATGACCTGAGCCGAAGGCAGACGCTAACCAACTGAGCCACCCAGGCGTCCCAGGGATATGCCGTTTTGTCAAGAGACAGACATAGAAAAAATTATGACAGTGAGAGAAAGACCAGTGGATACAGGCACAAGAGTTCATGGAAGCAGCAAGAACAGCTGGGCTGGGGAGTGATATTTGAGTGATTTCCCAAATCTAGAAGGAGGGAAATTGCTTTCTGAGCTGCAGGGATTACATGTAACCTTCCAGATGAACTGGTTTGGGGGGTTGCAAGCAGTTTGAAGGGGCTGGAATGGGGTACAAAAGCAGGGCTGTGGTGAGAGAGGATGCTGAAAAAGGTAGGCAGGGTCATATTGTGAAGGGTGGTGGCAAAATGCAGGAAGAGGAGCATGAGAGTAAGTCTGGGCTCTGCCTTGTCTCAAGTCTGACATTGGTCAAGCTGCTTCACTTCCTGGAGCCTCAGTATGATAATACATGGCTTGATATATGTAATAATGTACATTTCTTCATATATCTTTATTTTAAGGTTGATGAGTGAGTGAAATACAGTGTGTGGTGCACAATAAGGGATCAAAAACATTACCTTCTTTCTAAAGATATGGGACATTATTTTCTGAGTGATTGAGATGTTAAACAGGGAACAAACAGATTAGGTTGCGTTTTGGAACGTTTACTGAGAACAGTGTGGAAAGTGAGTTGGAGGGAGCGGAATCCATTTGGGTGCTATTGCAACCCCACAGGTGAGGCAGTAGAGGTGGGGAGAGGAGGAGACAGCTTCGAGGGAGCTTGAGTTTGGTAACTCATTGGATGCAGTGAAGGAACGAGAGAGAAAATTAAAGAAGCACCCAAGATTTCTGGTTAGAGTGAAGGAGTGGAAGGAGCTGTTGTTCCCGAGGGAGAACACAGGAGAAATGGGTGTTGCTGGGAAGAGGAAGGTGATGGAGATTAGGTATCTGGGTTTGGACATCCAGGTAGAGATGCCAGTGGGCAGATAAACATGGGTCTGGAGCCAATTTGCAGTTGTTAGAATTGAAACTAGAAGAGATTGCAGGCTCTCAGAGAGGGTGTGGAATGAGAAAGGTAGAGGGCTGAAGAAGGAATCCTAGAAGAGGGGAGGCAGGAGAATCAGGAGGGAATGGCCAGAAAGTGGGAAAGAGGAGAGCGTTCCAGGAAGAGGGAGTGTCCACCTGGGACAGAAATCCTGGATGTTACTGATGGAGTGGGCTAGTAGTGCTTTGGGAGAATGATGTGTCTGGGGAGTGGTGGGGAGTGGTGGGGTGATGAAGCTGGGAAGATGGGGACCAGAAATGCCTCTTGAAAGGCAGAGAAAGGCAGAACCACATTTCAACTACACATTGGTAGGTGGGTTCACATGTAAAAGCCTTGTTGTGCCATTAAAAAAATACAACAATGGGGCGCCTGGGTGGCTCAGATGGTAAAGCATCTGCCTTCGGCTCAGGTCATCGAGCCCCGCATAGGGCTCCCTGCTTGGCAGGGAGCCTGTTTCTCCCTCTCCCTCTACTGTTCCCCCTACTTGTGCTCTCTCGCTCTCTCTGTCAAATAAATAAAATATTAAAAAAAAAAATAAAAACAACAACACTATTCTTTTAGTACAGTGCTCCTCAAAGTGTAGCGTATGAACTATGTCACGCTTGCCTGGGGCACCAGTTCAAGTGCATATTTCCAGACTCTGCCCAGTTTTCTGGGTCAGGATCTATTTGCATGTATCATGGGAATCTGCGTTTAAAATAAGCTCTCCAGTCTGCTTGGTTGGCTCAGTCAGTAGAGCATGTCTGTGACTCTTTTTTTTTTTTTAACTTTATTTTATTATGTTATGTTAATCACCATACAATACATCATTAGTTTTTGATGTGGTGATGTATGTGACTCTTGATCTCAGGGTTGTGAGTTCAAGCCTCATGTTGGTTAGGCGTAGAGCCTACTTTAAAAAAACAAAAACTCTCCCGTGATTCTGATGTTGACCTGAAGCGGGAGGTCCTCTGTTGATTGAGAGTGTCTGAGCTCTTACCTGGAACTCAAAAGGCATTTTTGGGCTGGGACTGCTGAGTTCTGGAGGTTTATCCTGATCCTGCCAGAGATTTTCTAAGTTTGTGAATTGTTGTGACAAAATACGGAAAAGCAGCTCTCCTCCCTTTAACAGCCTGTAGTTTGGTGAACTCTTCGTTCTCCCTCATGAGGTAAGGGAAAGTGCTGGGCATGACACCCCTCACTTACATAGCAGGTGTATACTTTTCCTGATTCGTCTCTGCAGTGTTGCATCTGTGATTATCCCAGGGTCCTGGGATCAAGCCCCTTGTAGGGCTCCCTGCTCAGCAGGGGAGTCTGCCTCTCCCCTTCCCCCTGCTCATGTTCTCTCTCACTCAATATCTCTCTTTCAAATAAATAAATAAAATCTTAAAAAAAAAAAAAGTTTAAAAACGGGCCTGGATTAGAGATGTAAGGTACAGCACGGGGAATATAGTTAATAATATTGTAGTAACGTTACATGGTGACTACATTTACTCTAGTGAACGTTGAGTGTAGAATTGTCAAATCACTATGTTGTACACCTGAAACTGATGTCACATTGGGTATCAGTTATGGTTCAGTAATAAAAAATGAAAAATAAAATGGGCTGGCCTGGATGTTTGTTCCATCTGATTAGGAATGCATTATATATGTGAATGCTCTCATAGGTTGATGGATATCATTATTAGTAGCGGTTTCTGACTTGTCTTTTTGTTTTGTTTGTTCTTTAGATCATCCTATGCTGATATGCTGCATGACAAAGACAGAGTAAGTGTAAAAGGAAACCATTAGCTCACTGTGGGGTTTGAAACCTGGAGTTACAAGGTTAAAATTTCCCTCAAAAAAACACAAAAACCATTTCCTCCAGAGGCATGATGGTAGAATAATGTAGATGGGCATCATGGCACAGTGGTCGGGAAATCAGTCAGGAGGCGGGGGCCTACTTCCAGCTCTGCTGTTTACCTGAGTGTGACCTTGGAGAAGACATAAGACCTCTGCAGATCTTGTTCATTAGGATTTAAAAGGAATGGGATCTCTGTAGCTGATCTCCATTTTCTCTTCTAGATAAAAATTCTCTAATTACACAGGTTTACCTTGTATAGTCCTTTGTAATTTTAAAATCAAATCTCTAGAGGCCACAGCAGACTATTTTGTAGAGCACATTTGGCTTCCATTGCACAGTGACATTTCAGCTTTTTTTTTTTTCTTTTCTTTTCTCATTTTTGTTTCATCTGAGTTTTCTTTTCCTGTTTGAATTATGTTATAGTTCTGGTCTTAGGGTGGCAGCAACGCAGGTTTTTCTGGTCTATAAGAAACCGGGCTGAGGGGCGCCTGGGTGGCTCAGTTGGTTAAGCGACTGCCTTCGGCTCAGGTCATGATCCTGGAGTCCTGGGATCAAGTCCCGCATCAGGCTCCCTGCTCG